CCCCTTCCCACCCTGGGGAGCTGCCTGCTGCGCCCCTGTTCGCCCGGTCTCAGTCCGTGCTCAGCACATGCTCCATCATCTGGTTCCCAGAACTCAGATTGCGCAGTGGTCTGGTCATCACCGACCAGGGCTCACAGTCACAGCTGCAGAGGCATCCCTAAAGCTCTCCATCCCTAGCCTCACCCGCTGCCCCACTCCCCTCTCTGCCGGTGCCCGATCCCCAGGCCCCACATCGCCAAACACGTTTTCATAATCCTCTCGGGCTCTGGGGAAGCGATACAGCCCCGCGACGGAGCCCGATCATATAAGGAAAATATCGTGGGCCCATCTAGGGGCTCGATGGGGGATCTGGAAGCACCCTAACCCTGGCTGCACCCAACCTCCGACTCTCAACTACCTACAGCTGCTCTGCACTGAGACCTCTCGCCCATAGAGGAGTTTAGCTCTGCACTGAGACCTCTCGCCCATAGAGGAGTTTAGGCCGCGGCAGAATAATCTGCGCAGGCGCGCCCGAGGACGCGAGAGTCAGCCAATCCCGCCGCGCTTTGGCTGTCAATACTGCCTGGTGGGTGCCCCGCCTTTATAGATTATAGGGAACTGCCCTACAGGGTTTCTGAGTCTTTATTTACCGAAAGAGACGGAATTCTGTGTCTCTCGCAGAGCACCTTGATGGGTTGGAACTGCTAATCTTGGTTAGCAGCCAGATATCACAGCCACTGTCACTACTCTGCGCCCCAGTCGTCCGCCAAAACCCTTTCACCTTTTTCTGAAACAATCCACTGGGAGGATAAGATTGGAGCTTAATTACTGGAAGGAGGAGCGACACAGGGGCCGAGATAGAATGAACAGGGGAACTGTATTATTTTTGGTTTGCAATGGCAAAGATCTTAAAGGAACACTTAGGAAAATGTCAGGGAGGACTGTTGGCGAGAGTCTCTAGCTTCTCCCAGATGGGCCTGCGGAGGCCTGCTTGCGTGCCGGCAGCCTGGAGGCTCCAACCACTCACGGGGCTCCGGGGGCCTCCGGGAAGGGAGGTCCTGGCGGGAGAACCGGGTGAAAGGTTAGGGGCGTGGCCGCGCAGGCGCCGCCCGAGCTCTTAAAAGAGGGGTATAGTGGGCGGGTCCCCTGCAACCGCCTGACCCGTAGCTTCGCGGAGGAAACCCTGCTGCAGCCATGTCCCTACTCCGAGGTGAGCGCAGGCGCCATTCTCGTTCTGGGGTCTTTTCCTCTGCGAGCCGGGGCGTGGAAAGCGCGGGTTCGAATCCCGTGGACCTGGAGTTCACGCTCCGAGAGGGAAAAGGCAAAATCCTGCGCAAAATCGTTGTTGGGGTTAATGAGAAAATGTTGTTGTTCTTAATGTGCATCAAGTTAGAACACGGGGTCGGGGTGGAGAGATGGTCAGTCTTTTTTCAGAGAGCAGCTGCTGGATTCGAATTGCGGAGCTCTGGGTTGGCAGCCCAACTCCTTACCCACTTGGCCTCCGGCGCGCCTGTGGAAGGCACGAGTTGACAGTGGAGAGTTGCGTCCGTGGTTTCTATGCCCCTGACCTTGGACGCCATTCACCTATTTAATTAGAGTTCATCTGTCTGGGAACCAGATCACAGGCGCCTTGCGTCCCCGCTGCATTGGGGTGGACGTGGTGGCCGGTGGGTCGTCAGGAAGTCTCTGCCCAAGAGATGATCTGAGCCCACAAATGCATGATGGGGATGTTTTCTTCTCACATCCATTTCTTTTTACTACAGTGCCCACCCTGAAGCTATTAAATTTGAAAAAGAAAGAAAGAAAAAAGCCCTTAAAGTAATTGTCATCCAGTTGAAACCTACTCGCCAGCGGGTTTTCAGAGGCTTTCAATAGCATGGGATTGGGATTCCCTATTTTACTTCTGCTGAACCACAGGCAGGTAGATGAGAGCTTTCCTTTGGGTTGATAGCACAACTCCAAAGGGAGAAAAAAACATTGGGGAATCTGACCCTGTGCGCAACATTGAGGAGATAAGGTTTTAGTCTAAATTCAGTAAGAATGTATTGTTGTTATGTATTGTCGAGTTGCCTGAGACTCATGTAAAGTAGCTCTGAACCCTGCCCTGTCCAGAGCCAGTCTCACTGTCTGATACACCTTCCCCCATTATCTCAGTTACTGTGTTAATCCATCTCATCCTGGGCTTTCTAAAAGCAGGGCGGTGGGGGAGCAAGCTGTGATCTGCACTAAGTGCTGGGAGGGCTCTAGGGCTCACCTGGCAGTGTGGAGAATCTTGTGCAATATGCAGGCGACAGTTAATGACAACTTTGTTTAAGGTGGAGTTTGCAGATAAAAAGGAGGCATGTTGAGAAATTATGGTTACATTCACACACTGGAATACTATGCAGCATGCAGGAACAATGGTTTTGTAAATCACTACCTAATATCTGCTTGCTGAAACTGAGGAAGACCTGATGCACTTGCTGCAGAGAGTCAAGGACTGCAGCCTTCGGTATGGATTGAGGTTCAATGTCAAAAAGACAAAGATTCTCACCACTGGACCAATTGGCAGCATCAGGATGGATGGTGAAAGATTGAGATTGTTAACAACTTTAGTCTGCTTGGCTCCATGGTCAGTACTCTTGGCACCAGTAACCAGGAAATAAAAAAACACATTGCAATGGGAAAGTCTGCTGTTAGGGACCCCTCCAAAGTACTGAAGAGCAATGGTATCACTCTGGAGACTAAAGTGCATCTGATACAGGCCATGGTCTTTGCAATCACTTGTTATGCATCAGAGAGTTGGACAATGACTAGGAAAGATAAAAGGAGAATTGATGCCTTTTAGTTGTGGTGCTGGAGAAGAGTATTGAATGTACCATGGACTGCCAAGAAAACAAACAGATTCATCCTGGAGAGGGTTAAACCAGGTGCGCCTTGGAGGCAA